ACTAATTAGGGAAATACAAATTAAAACCACAATGACATATCACCTCACCCCTGTCAAAATGGCTTTGAAAAGTCCAAAAATAATAGATGCTGACATGGATGCAGAGAGAAAGGAATACTTATAAGATGTTGGTGGCACTACAAATTAGTACAACCTTTATGGAAAACAGTATGGAGATTACTCAAAAAACTAAAAGTAGCTCTACCATTCAATCCAGTAATCCCACTACTGGCTAAGTACCCAAAGGAAAAGAAGTCATTTTAACAAAAAGATATCTGCACTCAAATGTTTATTGCAGCACAATTCACAATTGCAAAGATGTGGAATCAACCCAAATGCCTATAAATACACAAGAGGATTAACAAAATATGGTATATGTATACCATGGAATACTACTCAGCCATGAAGAAAATGACCTAATGCCTTTTTCAACAATATGAATGGAACTGGAGACCATTATCCTAAACAAAGTATCTAAAGAATGAAAAAACAAACATCACATGTACTTACTGTTAAGTTGGAACTAACCAAAGAGCACACATGTGCATAGAGGGAAGTATAACTCAATGGAAATCAATCAGGGGGGAGGGAGGAAGAGTGGATGGGTGAAAACCTATCTAATGGGTACAATGAACACTATCTGGGTGACAGGCTTACTTACAACTCTGACTTAACCATTACAAAAGCAATCCTTATAACCAAAAACATTTGTACCCTCATAATACTTTGAAATAAAAAAATTTAAATGTCCCAAAAGAACTGCATTGTTTTGCAATAGAGTTTCCCTTACTGATAGAATCATAAAAACCAAATCTCACGTGCAAAGCTTAGAATGACAAATTCCCCAAAGAAATAGTAAGAATTCTTGCTTAAAAATGTAATCTTAGGACCCAGATTACATATTTATCTTCTATAGAAAGAAATATTCTGTTCAGAAACTTTAGCACTGCCTTAAAACATTCAGCACTAAGAAAAGATAAAAAAAAAAAAGTTTTGCGTAGACGTCAAAATTTAAATCAAGGCTTATTTCCAATGACAGTGATCATATGAGATGACCCTACTGCATGCAGCTGAAAACGCTCCAGTAGCAAATTCCGTGCCTTTGAAGAATCCCAGATCATTGGATTTGTGAAACAGGAAATATAAGTCAGGAAAAGAAGAAACATTTCCTGTCATGAAAGATGGTTTTGAGACTGAGGTGCTGGGATTCCCTTAGAAGATGTAGTATTATTCCCTCCCTCTCTAGAAACAAGTAAACATATCCCTTCCCCAGGAAAATCACCTCCCCAAATCTCCTGTCAAGCTTCCTATTGGTTTATAAAACCATACTATCGCCTGCAAATACCCTGCACTCCAGGAGAAACTTTCAGCAGAGCTTCATTCAGGAATCCAGATAGGATTAAAAAGGTCTTCCTCTTCAATGAAAACAATAAGGAAGTTTGGTGAGAGGTTAACTTGCTGGAGAATAAACGTAAGTCATACACATTGAGAAGTTATAAATCTCTCCCCAGAAAAAATGCCTATCGGCAGCTCAAGCCAGCCCAGCTTTTAAGAGCATTAAAGCAAAGGCACTAAGCCTAATATATTCGCATATAACACATGTGGTGGCTGTTTCACATGCTTCAAACTCAGAGGGCAGCTGCTGCTGTGTGGGAAATGGACACTGTGACAGGTCACTAGTGATTTATACTGCAGCACTCACAGACGAGTGGATGGCCAGTCTAACCCCCCCCCCAGGGTCCTGCCAGGCTCCAGCCACTCAACAGCAAACCCACCCAGAGTCATCTGATCTGCTTTGGTTGAAGGAATGAGAGGAGACCATTTAGGGTAAGCAGCAAGCCTCATTTCATCATGTCCAGACTACATAAACTCTCATAGATTTTTTTTTCAATAGAATACAACCCAAACATATATGAAGAATTAATTAATTAAGGTGTATACCTCCTAGTTCATTCATTAACATCTAACATCTGAAATTTTCATCTTACTTGAGATCCTGAGACTCTACTTGGTCCCTCTGCCTGTAGCTCATGTCAAATATATAAGATGGCATATTATAAAAGCCAGCTAAAAAGCCACTGTTGTTCTCCCCCAACATCAAGTCCTCACTGTATGCAGAAACTATTCAGGGATGTCCTTTGCTGGGTCATAACAATTTCATACAAATTCTACAGCAGTTTCACACTTTACCTAGGAAGTGGGAAAGGGCCCAGTGCTATTGTATTAGTCTCCACAATCCTTTGTTACCAATCAACAAAGTCTCTAATACAGCTTGCTGAATGGGAATTTCACTTCCAGTAAACTACTAGACACTTGGCCTTATTAAGGGCACCTCCTACTGGTCATTTCATAGAGTGAACTATGTTTTCTTTATCATCAATTCCCTGCCATGTTCCTCAAAAGGGGAAATTGCTACTAAGAGAAAGAGGTGATACTAAGACTAATAAGCAAAGAAGACCAGAGTGATGTGAATTAGCAATATCTTAAAAGTGCACCATTGACTTTTCTGGGACCTGTATAAGCTGCATCACAATTCATTTGCAAATGACAGAAATGGATTTAGAAGTGTAGAGAAGTTTAATGACTTAGATATACATGCCTATCCACCAGCGTATTATTCATATATATCTACATGTATATGTATGTGTGTATCCCTGTTTTTTCAAGCATACAAACATAGACCTATCTGTCTGTTTAGGAGAAAACAAAAAGTAGTAACATATGGCCATAACTCTCTAGATATGAAACTCAGTGAGAAGGGAATATTTAATTAATTTAGATATTAACACATTGACCTGCCACGCTAGGAAAAAAAATGTTTTTCCGTGCGGCCATAGTGTTTTATTACAAAAATTGAATAAAAACTTTGAAAACAAAATGATCCTTTCTAATTTAATGAAAAATGAAATTAACTAATGAAATTAATTCCTTTAATCCACGTTTTTAGAATTAATTTGTCAATCAATAAGAACATCAACAAATAAGATTTTCACGAACTAACTGCAGGATTTTGCAGGTTTTGCTTCAGGAGAACCAGGGCTCAAAACTAGCGTGAGTTAAATACAACTCACATGGCAGTTAATGTGTTAATAAAACATACAGAAAGTCATCTTCATTCATCTACCCCCACCCTTCCCCAGACAAAAGTCACTTGGGAAATGGCTTTAAAAATTGTTGTGTAATTGACGAGACATCATTGTCCATTTCTGCACACCTTGCCTAATGCAGTTTTCAGCTATCGCATCGCAGGCCACCAGTCCCTCTGTTCTGCAGACTTTCTACCCAGTGAGGGATGCCCGCTCTTAAGTTCCCCTCTCCAGCTTGCCGCGGTCTCCCAAACTGCCAGAAGGAGGGTTCTCCTCACCCCAGCGTCTAGCATCTGCCAGTCTCTAGGAGAGAATTTTAAAAAGACACCTATTCATTACTGCCGGGATAGTCCCCCGCCCACCTTCCGCCAGAGTAATTGCGGAGGACAAAGCTCTGGGAGAGAGGAGCCCAGGGAGGGGGGACCGGCCCGAGAGGGAGGGAGCGAGCCCGGGCGGCTGGGCGCGCGCGCAGATGCGGGTACGCGCGCATCACAGGAGAGAGCGAGCGTGGACACACACACACACACAAACACACACACACACCCTCACGCTTGCTCTCTGGCCAAAGGAAGATGAGGAGTCGAGTCCCAATGCACGCGCAAACAGATTCCTGCCCGCGTGTGGCTGCGCCGAGCTTTGGGGAGCTTCGGGCTGGCTTGGCGCTTGGCTGTCTGAATCCCTCGCGACCGACCCACCGGGAGAGGCGCATTCTCCGCTCGCCTTCGCAACCCTGAGCCATGCAGCACTTAGCGGGGACAAGGAAGCCGGAGCTGCGGGCTCTGGGGAGGCTGGGGGCTTGGCCGCGATTTATATCGCGTTCCCTGTTAATTTCCAAGGCGCGAATCGGGGCACTCTTACTCAACGCCCGGCCATGCCAGCGCCTCATTTTCCTTTGGATTTGGGAAAAGGTCGTTTCTGAAGGGATTTGAATGCTCAGCCAGCTGCTCTCCTCTCCTTCCCGCTCCCCCGTCTTCAGGCCCTCTCCTTGCACCTCCGTGCCCATCTACACTTGTGGTGAGGTCCCGCAAAACGAGTGGACGTTATACTGAGTCATTTTGCTCTTTTCTATTCTTTTGGCCGTCGAAGCCCCTAGCTCTGTCTTCGGAGACTGCAGCAGCCCTGAACGAACGGCCTCCGGGTCCCTCTTTCTGCTCCTCTAGCCCGATCCAATCCCCACACAGTTTTGCCATTTTTAATTAGAAACTGCGCTTGCCAAGTGCCAGGGCCAGGGGGCCCGGTTCCCCGGAATATCAATCATATGGAGTTTGGAGGTGTCCTGAAGATATCTGGAGACTCAGCCGGCGAACTCCATTCACCGTCAAAAATAAAATAAAATAAAACACTCCTCCCGGCAACTCTGCGCCTCCTTCATTCCCACAGCCCCTCCTCTGAAGGACCAAAACACATTAGCTGTCCCTTTCCCGATTTTCAATCAGCAAGTCCAAAAATCCAAACCCAGAGGCGCATACGTCCACACACAGACGACTCAGCCCGACCATCTACACCCCGCACAGAATTCCTCAAAGCCCCCTAGACGTCCTCCTGCGCTTGCCCCTGGTGCCCCAATCCTTCCCCATTCGGTAGGTTTCTGAGGCTTTAAAGATCTAACCCAGTTCCTTTCAATGACAGCCCCATCACCTGCCCCCAGCCCCGCTGGCTCTCCAAACGAACGCAAGTAGGTGCAGAAGCAAAGATGTGAGAAGCACTGGCTTAAAAAAGAGCGAAGGGGCGCCCCTCGCTCCTCCTCCCCAGGGGAGGAAAAAAGTCTCTTTTTTAACCATCCATGAGGAAATGGGGGGCAGCGCGAGCGCCAAATATCTTGCACAACCCCCCCCCCCCATTCTACTACTGAAATGAGAAGGGAAAGGGAGTAAGGACGGGGGTGCGACGAGAAGAAAGGAAAGAACCACTTACCGGCGACTTGAAGATGCGCGCTGAGCAGGGAAGCTCCGAAGAGTACAAAAGCCAGCTTGGGTACCCAAACACATCCAAGACTATTCTCCATATTTCAGCCAACACCTTCGGGGCCAGAGGTCCTGGGCAGTGGCGGCACTCACACACATGCACTCACACACGCATGCACACATGCACACACACACGCCGAGCCCCTTCGGCTTCCTCCTCCTCCTCCTCCTCCTCGTCCTCTTCCTCCACCTCTTTCTCCACCTCCCCTGCGCCTCTTCTGCCTTCGAAGCCTTTTTCCTTGTCCACTGACAGAATCAGCAGCAGAAGGAGGCAGCAAAAAGTTCCATTCGGTCCAAGAGATCCCGAGCCCTGGTAAAACCTTGGAAAACTAACTCAAGGAAACGGAGGGAGCAAGAGGAGGGAAGACAGCTCTCCGCGGGGCTTGCGAGCCATCAATAAACAGATCATCCAGGAGGGACCAGGAGGAGAAGGCAGGCAATCCTGTGGCTGGGCTGTGCATTAAAAGGTTGAAGCTGGTTCCATGTCGTCGGTTGGGTAAAGTTGAAGAGAAAATTCCGCGCGAGAGCTGGAGATGCTGTTCGTTTTTCTTCCAGGAGCGCAGGGGAGCGAGGGAGGAGAGGCAGGGGGCTGCGGGGTGGAGCGCTCTCACTTGTTACTGGGGTGTCCGCCAGCGGTGTGTGAGCCGAGAGTTGGAACGGTACTATCCATTGATCCGGAGAAGTGGAGGGCTGGAAGGGAAAATGTGGAGACCGGAGGGAAACGAACTGGATCAGGCAAAGATTCCACGGGAAGGGGGGTGGGGGCAGAGAGACGAGGGCTCAGGGAAAAAAGCGGACGGAGGAGGCTTCCAGCAGCTGCATTCGCCTGGTCTACGTATCCATGCGCAGGGATGCCCTCTGTGGGCAAAGCGTGGGAAGTCACTTTTGTCAATGGAGCCTGCGAACATTCCGAGCGTCTGGAGGGTTTGCAGCGATCATTCTGGACACTCAACCTTCAGAAAATTGTCTTTATTTCACTGTGAGACCTAGGCGGATGTTTCAAGCGAGGCACGTGGCCAGGACATTTACTTCCTTCCCTGCTCGCACCATTAATTAAAAAAGAATTTTTCATCTGGAATGAATTATCTAACCCAACTCCCTTCCAGGACAGGTGGGAAACCGAGGTCTGGAAACGCACAACGAACAGATGCCAGATGCCGTTTCCTGATATAATAGCTAGGGTCCTCTATATGTAGGACATCTTATTTCATCTGTGTTCCCTCCTCTCTAGATGGGATTCAGTGCTTTATTCAATATCTTGTTAAAGCATTTGCCATGCTCCAGGTGCCCTGTTGGCTCCTAAGAAATAAAGATAAGAGATTTAGTAAGACTCAGTCTCTACCCTCAAGGGGCTTGTGATCTTTGGGGAGAGAAACACGGATGGATAATTGTAAAATATCATGGTAAATATGATGGGGCATGTAATGAGGAGGTGCTCTGGGAGAACAAGAGAGACATTCCCCAGTCCCTGGGACATGAAGTGAAGCAATCATGCAAATAGACACACACACGTGTGTGCACACACACACACACAAAATAGGAAACTTAGGGAGGGCGAACAGTGAAGCCCTTTCAGGAAACTGCTTTAAGCTGAGTTTGTCTATCTTATCCCCACTGAGAAACCTCCAGCTCCTTTGAGAGGAGACATATACGCTGTTTACCTTTGCAACCCTCACAGTTGCTAGCATACGACTTGGAATACTGCAAATGCCAATACATTTTTGCTGAATAAGTGGTTATACAAACCAATGATTTTGGCCAGGGAGGATGATGAATGGAAATGCCATTCTGGTAAAAGGTCTATCTTTTGAGGAGATGTTCAGCTGCAGGTTCTCTCCATTCCTCACTGTATGACGTTACCTCTTCAATCTTTCTCTCTCTTCCCCACCCTTTCTTCCCTCCTCTACCAAGTTCACCAGGTTGTGAGTGAAGACAATGTGAATATGCTTTTTAAAAGAAGGTGGGGGAGGAAAGAGGTGCATGAGAAATACAGGAGAGTCATCATCAGGAAAATTCCCATGATGCTAGAACTGGAAAACAATATTTTAGATCCTTAGTCATGCCTATGCCTTCCTGTCCTGGAAAAGTTAAAAGGAAAATTGCCTGAGATCACTAAATCAAAACCTTCTGAAGTAGCTTAGTTTGATGGGTTCTTTGAAATGTAATGAATCTCTTTGGTGACCTCCAAATTTCTCAAAACACTCAAAGGTTCTATTATATAAGGAAGAAGCCTCTGAAAGCACAGGGCTGGGGTCCACAGAAAGGACTCTTAACTGGGTCCAGGGACACTCTTGGGAGGCCTCTGATGATAGACGTCAGGAGTTTATGAGCATTCTGAAATTTTATGAAAAAATGGTTGGCTTGTGAACACATGCTATCTTTTTCTGGGAGGGAAATCTTTAGTTTTCGGGAGATGTACAAAGTAAGTTCAAGCCTGTCACCTGCTGAAACATTGTAAAGAATCATTGAATAAGAGAGTATGGTATGACGGAAGAGCTGCAATCTCTTTTTAATAGAGTCTAAATTCCTCCGTTTCCCATATTAGTAAAAGGATGTCCTTGAAGAGTGAGAGAGAGGGTAGGAACCAAAAATGGTCCATGTTGTTCAGATCCCTTTAAAGACATCTGGCTCAGCCTCACACAGTAGGTCTAGTGATCAAGCTACTCTTTTACTATGGCTTTTGACTCCTGAACACAGAGTAATTCAGGCCATCAGTCCATTCACTAAGGGACTTCTACAAAAATCATCAATTTTTCTACCTCCCCCAGAACCTGTGAATATATTATCTTACAAGAAAAAAGGGATTTGTAGATGTGATTAAAGCTAAGGAACATGAGACAGTGAGATTATCCTTGGTTATCCAGATGGGTCCAATATAATCACAAGGGTCCTTTGAAAATGGAAGAGTGGCGTGAAAAGTCAGAGTTGGAGAAGGAGATGTGATGACAAAAGCAGAGGGCAGGGCAGAGGGATGCCATTGCTGGGAGGGATCACAAGCTAAGAAATGTAGGCAGCCTCTGAAAGCTGGAGAAGGAAAAAAACAGATTCTCCCCTGGAGCCTGCACAAGGATTCCAGTCCTTCTGATACCTTGATTTTCTTGGTTTTAGCCTCGTAAACCCTTTTTTTAATATTTGACCTCCATAACTACAAGATAACAAATTTGTGTTGTTTTAAGCCACTTAATTTGTGGTAGCTCATTACAGTAGTAATAGGAAACTAGTTTAGGTTTGGGTACCATGGAAGTGGAGTGCTGTAATAACAAACGCTTAAAAATGTGTAGGTGACATTGGTGTTGGGCAACAAGCAGAGGCTGGAAGAATTTTAAGGTGCATGATAGAAAACAAGCTTAGATTGCCTTGAATAGACTGTTGATAGAAATATGGACACTAAAGTCATTGATGGTGAGCGTGCAGAAGGACACGAGAAAAAGGGATGTTGTTACATAGTGGCAGGAATTTTAGCACAATTGTGTCTTACATTTATGTGGAAGGCAGAGCTTGTAAGTGATGAACTTGGATAATTGCTGAGATTTCCAAAGTGTTGAAGATGTGGCCAGATTTCTCCTTACTGCTTATAGTAAAATATAAGAGGAAAAAGATAGAATGAGAGAAGAACTGTTAATCAAAGAATCAGGTATTGATGATTTTGGAAATTCTCAGCCTATTCAGATTATAAAAGACACCGAAATTAGGAGATTTATGGTCAGAAAAGTATAGGGAAAACCCAGAGTGTGTCTGGACAACCTTTTGCTCATGCCTCACAAAGACCAAAAGGTCAGAATATTCATTCACACAGAGGGCTCTTTGAGGAGATTTGTCATGTGGCTCATGGAATCTCTCAGCTGTCTCAACAGAAGTCGGCAGTAGAGATCATCTAGGAAGGGTCTGTGGAACAGCCTGTTGTCTAATGGAGTGAATTCTCAAGATATATATGGGAGACCAACAAGGTTCTTGAGAATGTTATACCAGCAGAAACAGTGGCAGCTTGGACTGAAAGGGTCAGAGAGGGGACAAATGAAAGAAAGCTGTGAGATTCTTAAAATTCTATAGGCAGGAAATAGGCTGATAAGTGTACTCAGCTGTAAACATGTGCTACCCTTCATGAAAAAGAAAAGAAGGATAATTCCAAGATCATAGATGTGAACCCAGAGGGCAGAGCCATGAGCTAAGAGGATGAAGCCATAAACCACAGAGAATTGTTCTCAAGTCTTAAAAACTAATGTTTGCCCAGCTAGATTTCAAAATTGCTTGGGACCAATGATTCCTTTTTTCCTTCTATCTTCTTTCTTTTAAAAAGCAATGTCTATAGCTGGTTTCCTATGCTATCATACCATTGTGTCTTTAAATCATGTAACTTGTTTTCTAGCTTCACAGGTCCACAAATAGATATAAATTTTTCCCCAGCATGGGTCATACCAGAGTCTCACCCATACTTGAGTTAGATGATGAGATTTGAGACCTTCGAACTGATAACATATAGATGATATTTTGGACTCTGAGTTCATGGGTTAAGACTTTTGGAGACATTGGGAAGGGTGAATGTAGTTTTGATGTGAGATGGATGTGAATCTTTCGGGGCCAGAGGGAAGACTGTGGTAAATAGAATAATGGCCTTCCAAAGATGTTCACATCCTAATCCCTGTAGATATGTTACCCTACATAGCAAAAAGGACTTTGTCATGTGATAAAGTTAAGGATTTTGAGAAGGGGAGATTATTCCAGATTATCTGGGTGGATCTATTATGATCACAAGCATCACTAAAAGAAGAATGAAGGAGGCAGAGAGGCAGAGTCAGAAAAGGAAGTGTGATGCCTGAAGCAGAGGTCAGAGTGATGCCATTGCTAGAAGAGATCCATAAGCCAGGGCAGGTAGGCAGACTCTATGAGATAGAAAAGGCAAGGAATACATTCTCACCTAGAGCCTCCAGAAGGAACAGAGCTCTATGAACACTTTGATGTTAGAAATATGAGACTCATTTTCTGATGTCTGGCCTCCAGAACTACAAGATAATAAATCTGTGTTTGTTTTAACCACTAACTTCGCAGTAATCTGTTAAAGCAGCAACCAAAAAACAAACACAGAACTTGAAAATAAAATTGAAACTGTAGAATCAGAGTGTAGACAAGGAAACAAACTGAGTCCTTGGTTATATGTTGTTTGGGTCATTAGAATGAAACACCTTACCTAAAGCCAGCCCTGTCTCTGCATTTCTCAGATACAGCGGCCAATTAATTCCTTTATTACTTAATCCAGGTTAAGGAGGTTGTATACATTGCATAACTTACAGCATCCTAATAAAACTAATTGAAAACAAAGATAATCCTTATTAAGTGTATATTCCCACTTTAAAAATTGATGGCTTTTTATCAAGATCTAGTTTTGTAACTTAATTTTGGATGCCTAACTGTGGGTGTGTGATGATATGATTATGATGGAAAGGATTTGCTATCATCATTAGTCACCAACTTTTCTCAATGCCCACTACATATGTAAGATAACTTGGTGGTTACAATGAAGAATGAGAAAGGGTTCTTGCTATCAAGCAGCCTCCAATCTGGACAAGGAAGACAGGGGTCTTTTGACCTAGAATTTAAAACTCTGTGCCCATAATAGCAATACATATATAAGCTGCTATAATTTAGGAGAAAAAGGAAATGAGGCAGTCAGGGATGACCTCTTGGAGATAATAAGACTCCAGTGGGCCTGTCAACTTAGCAAGGAGTTGGAGGTGATTGTAGATATGTAAAGTTCTAGAGGCTGAGACTGCATCAGCCTGACAGGAGAGGGTAATTTGAGTAGAGGCATTGTAGGAAGAAAATCTTCAACAATGCAAGGGTCCTAGATAGTTTATGCTCCAAAAACACCCAAATTTTCTGCTTTAAATATTTTCTAAAATACAAAAATTACTGCAAAAGAAATGGCTGGATCACTTTTGTTAATCTTTAAAGAAGAGGAGTGGCATCTGTGGACAAGTTTCCTTGATT